TAATGGACCAGGGCTCAAGTAGAAAGCAAATGTTTTGAGAACGATGATGGCAACAAATGTACAAATATGCTTGACAAATTGTATGTATTATGGATTGTGATAAGAATTGTACGAGCCCCCGCTAAAATGACTTATAGAAAAAAAAAACATTTACAAAAAAAAATCTCTTCCAGTATTTTTTGTTCCAAGTGGCTTTAAGACATCCTTGTGTTCTATACCAGTCTAGTCATGGGTTGGTTCTATAGCAGCAAATTGCCAGAGCTGCGGTGGGATCATCAGTTACAAGTTGGCTATTAGCCTGTAGGGTTGGCAGTTTGAAATCACTAGCCACTCCGTGTGGGGGAAGATGAGGCTTTCCGCTCCAGTAAAGAGTAAGAGGAACCTATGATGTCACTATGAGTTGGAATCAATTCGACGGCAGTGAATTTGGTTGATTTTCCAAGTCCAAATATTTGACGGTGGTGACTGTACCCTTGAAGCTTTTACAGTAGGATCTGGTTCGATGTCTAAGGGTGCTTTCGGTTCAGATTGAGATCATGGTATAGTATAATGGTATCTTATAGGTGGTCTTACTAGATGCCCTTGAACCAGTTCTGACTCTCCAGGATGCTACAAACAACTGAAGGAAATGCTGCCCGGCTCTGGGTCCTCCTCAACATTGTTCTATGTTTGAACCCATTGCTGCAGCCACGAGGTTAATCCGTTTCCTTAAGGGTCCTTCACTGACCCTGCGGTTTACCAAACATGATGTCCTCCTCCTGCATTGGCTCGCTCCTGACACCATGTCTAAAGTATGCGAGATGAAATATCGCCATTCTTAGTGCTAAGGAGCATTCTGGTTGTCCATCTTGCAGGACAGACTGGACCCTCTTCTGGCAGCCTGGGGCATGGATATTCAATCTACTTCACCAACACCACCGTGTAAAGATGCTAATTCTTCTCCAATCTTACTGGTCCAGTGTTAGCATGGGTATGGGGCCATTGAAAAGACAATAACATGGCTTGTGAACATGTGCACAGCCTTCC